TCTACTACTACTACTACTACTACTACTACTACTACTACTACTACTACTACTACTACTACTACTACTACTTCTGATAATGATGATGATGATGATGATGATGATGATGATGATGATGATGATGATGATGATGATGATGATGATGATGATGATGATATAATAAGCCTCTTGGCCTGGCTCGCACTGAGTCCCTCAAAATCTTATATCTTGTACTCTGTGGACATAATGCAACTACTTTCCTTGAAGGTGTTAACTTACGTTTCCTGATGGTGTCAGCGTGAATTAGACTCAATTGCTGTGTCTTCGAAGATAGATGAACGGCTTTGTAAAAAGTCTTAACTTTTTGCTGAAAAAACCCGAATGGCAAAACAAGCAGTTTTGGAGAGCCCAACCTGCCCAACTGCTCCTTGTTTGCAGGTGAACTAAAAATGTCCTCCAGACGGAGCTCTTGTTGGCAACACACGTTCACAGTACATTTCATCGGTCTTGAAGCTCACTCCAGCTTTAAAAAAATTAATTGTTTTGGTAATTTTTTTAAACGGTGTTCGCAACTGCATAAGGTCATAATATGAGTGCGCGGGACACATTAAACATTTTCAGTTTGTAGGAAATTTGGAATTTTGCCTGGGTGGTGGCCGAAGCCTACTCTTATCAATGTTTGGGCCACCAAGGGATCGTTAACGTGCACAACTTGCACGCGGGACCTACGAGGCTTTTCACCCTTATCCGAGAAGGCTAGGTAGATCGTATCAACCATAAGACCAGGGGTGTGGCTGAAAGACAGCCGTAAACAGGAGCCAAGGAGTAGCAGTAGATAGGCAGGAGAAAGAGGAGGGGGCTAAGGAGGTGAGGGGGCGGGGGCAGAAAGTGGAAACGAAAGCAGACGACCGAACATTGTAGACAGCAGCAAAGAAAGTGAAGGAGAAAATTTTAGAGAATAACATTTTCCGTCGCTATCGAGATTGGACCCCAGGATATATTGAATGAGAGGGGAACATCTTAACATCCAGACCCTGAGAACCCCCTATTTTGGCTATGATGTCGACGGAGAAAACGCAACTTGATAGATTTATTTTTGCCTAAACGCAATCTGCATAGACTTCAGTAATGCTAAGTTGACTCACAAGTCTCGTCTTACCAGGTGACAAGAATAATAAAATGTTGCACTAACGAATCATACATCATACGGTGTGCCGACGTCGTAAAACAGCAGACGGTTCCAGCAAAGAGCAGGTGTGGAAAAAAAAGAAAACAAGAAACATGTTAAGCTATATAAAAGGCAAAGCATAAAGTGAGGCAGTCTAGAAAAGGATTTTAGAAATGAGAATAAATGGAGTTACTTGGTAGAGTTGCCTTGCATCCTTCCTCTGACTTCAGACCTCAGGCTGAAAGAATACTTGGTATTTTGTATGGAGATATGGTAGAATATTAATCTGTGTGGAACATTATACTGATATGGCAAATTCTGTCTTGGGAAAAATAGTCATACCAATCTTTGAACTGCGAAAGCATGTGCGAAGGGAGAGAGATAGATAGATAGATAGATAGAGAGAGA